ACAAAAACTGTTAAAAATGACAAAAACACACATTGTGTTGTGTTTTTGTCACTTTTATTTTTTTTAGTTAAAATAGAGTTAAATAGAGTTTTTAACAATATTTATTTCTTTTTTCTAGTTTTTATTATAATTTAATTTAATTTTAATAATGAGTTATTTTAGTACATCAAGTTAAACTAAATGAAAATGAGCAATGTTGCCTTGACAACTAGCTAAATAAAATACATTTTTTAAATATTTCATTTCAGTTCAGCTAAAGTTTATTTTTTAAGTTTTTTTATGCTTTTAGTTTAACCATAACAACCCCGGTTCATACTTATCCAACTTTACAATAAAGAGCTGTGCAATCATATAGTTTGTGATGAATAAAACAAAAATAGTTTTGCAGAAGTATTGTAACAACGTGAGACTTTTGCTACGTATACACAGTCGACATAATTTAATAATCGCAGGGTTTCTGGAGTGGATTTAAGAATGTGAATGGCCTTGCTACAAATAAAGTAACAAATCTCTTGAATTTGAACATTTCTCAAAAAAAGTCAAAAGTATCTTAAAAGTTGCACATATGACTTGTGCGAAGTCTTCTGAAGTCATGATGTTTTGAGCGATTAAAAGGCAGACACTGAATTCGTTATGCACTAAATGTGCTCGAGCTTTTGTGTTGCAGCACAGTAAATAATAACAACACATGAATCAACATGAGAGTCAGCACATGTTCATTCCTAGCCGGACTATTCCTTCAGCATCACACACTGAATACACACTGATACGCACAGGACTCTGGGGTGTGAGGGAACGGGAGCGAAGCAAAGCTTGAAACGAGGGTTAGTATGAAAACACGCAGCGTGAGACAAACTGAAACCCCTCCATCCGCTCAATAAAGACCCCTGAGGATATTTTGCACACGGTGTAGTTTTATTTTATAAAGGAAAAACTACAGGCACCAGAATCTTAAGAGGAATGTTAAATAAAACACGTAAAATGAAGCATGCAATCTGTTTAAGTCAATAATGCTGGATCTGGGTGTGTCAGCATCACACACTGAATACACACTGATACGCACAGGACTCTGGGGTGTGAGGGAACGGGAGCGAAGCAAAGCTTGAAACGAGGGTTAGTATGAAAACACGCAGCGTGAGACAAACTGAAACCCCTCCATCCGCTCACTAAAGACCCCTGAGGATATTTTGCACACGGTGTAGGTTTATTTTATAAAGGAAAAACTACAGGCACCAGAATCTTAAGAGGAATGTTAAATAAAACACGTAAAATGAAGCATGCAATCTGTTTAAGTCAATAATGCTGGATCTGGGTGTAAAATAAGCTACAGTCACATCATAACCTTCACCCAAAAATGAAACTTTCTTCTGCAGTGAATGGGTGCCGTCAGAATGAGAGTTACAGAGTTATTGATTACGGACTGTTTTGAAGTTTAAAAACTTGTATTATTTTTAAACCTTTTATTGTGATGTTTTTATCAGCTGTTTGGACTCTCATTCTGACGGCACCCATTCACTTGCAGTGAGACATTGATGCAATGCTACATTTCTCCAGATCTGATGAAGACACAAACTCGTCCTAAATTTTTGTGTGAATTAAAACGGTTAAATCCGGACTGAATTAGTCACGTTGAAAGCCTGTGAAATGCAGGTAAATGCATGTCTTTGCAACCAGAAACTGTGAGGCGATAAGCCACTGAATGTTAGAGAGTGATTTTAAAAGCATGTGTTTTTTTAGCTGATTAAATCACTGTAGATTAATATTCAGAAGTTAAATCATATAATCAAGCGTTCGGCACAAAGCCATGTGCTTCTGCTCACTAACTACAACTTTCTCAATGATCATGCATGTGTTTTTATTAATGATCAAATCACACAAAGGTCATTCCTACTGACAGCATGTTTTTGTTTATTTATTAATAGTAAAGCAGACAGTGTTATGATGAGCTAATCATATAATAAAGCACTGCCATATTGCGTTTTTGATAATATAAATGCATTTTTGAATGAAACCTTTTATTACATTTATTATGTTTTAAGAATGATTTACTGATTTTTTTCGTCTCTGCTGACAGTGAACGGTCTGTGTTTAAAATAACAGTACCGTAAAACATTCGACTCAAACCAGACAGAACTAGGTTAGTTGTGAAGACGTACACTGAGTCGGTCTTTAATACTTCAAAACGATGAAAAATACCAACAATCTTCATAATACTGCTTCAAGCGTATGAATAGGAAGGATAAAGGCAACACTGAAAACTGTAGACAGATCTGAAGGAAGAAAACACTGGAAGGCTCACTGGCACAATTCAGAAAATATAGACTTTTCTCCTCTAATACAACACAACAGATTCTGGAAGTAAAAATCACATTCACTGTCTCAAAGCAGATGTGTTTTTGTAGAAAGATTTAGAGAAATCTCTTTATATTTATATGCATCAACAGTACAGCTTGGAATAATTATGATTTTTTTTAAATGTTTTTGAAAGAAGTTTCTTCTGCTCACCAGGGATGCATTTATCTGATACAAAAATACAGTAAAAATTGTGAAATATTATTCCAATGTAAAACAGAAAATAAGCTACAGTCACATCATAACCTTCACCCAAAAATGAAACTTTCTTCTGCAGTGAATGGGGGCCGTCAGAATGAGAGTTACAGAGTTATTGATTACGGACTGTTTTGAAGTTTAAAAACTTGTATTATTTTTAAACCTTTTATTGTGATGTTTTTATCAGCTGTTTGGACTCTCATTCTGACGGCACCCATTCACTTGCAGTGAGACACTGATGCAATGCTACATTTCTCCAGATCTGATGAAGACACAAACTCGTCCTAAATTTTTGTGTGAATTAAAACGGTTAAATCCGGACTGAATTAGTCACGTTGAAAGCCTGTGAAATGCAGGTAAATGCATGTCAGTACACTGAGTCGGTCTTTAATACTTCAAAACGATGAAAAATACCAACAATCTTCATAATACTGCTTCAAGCGTATGAATAGGAAGGATAAAGGCAACACTGAAAACTGTAGACAGATCTGAAGGAAGAAAACACTGGAAGGCTCACTGGCACAATTCAGAAAATATAGACTTTTCTCCTCTAATACAACACAACAGATTCTGGAAGTAAAAATCACATTCATTGTCTCAAAGCAGATGTGTTTTTGTAGAAAGATTTAGAGAAATCTCTTTATATTTATATGCATCAACAGTACAGCTTGGAATAATTATGATTTTTTTAAAATGTTTTTGAAAGAAGTCTCTTCTGCTCACCAGGGAGAAACTTTCTTCTGCAGTGAATGGGTGCCGTCAGAATGAGAGTTACAGAGTTATTGATTACGGACTGTTTTGAAGTTTAAAAACTTGTATTATTTTTAAACCTTTTATTGTGATGTTTTTATCAGCTGTTTGGACTCTCATTCTGACGGCACCCATTCACTTGCAGTGAGACATTGATGCAATGCTACATTTCTCCAGATCTGATGAAGACACAAACTCGTCCTAAATTTTTGTGTGAATTAAAACGGTTAAATCCGGACTGAATTAGTCACGTTGAAAGCCTGTGAAATGCAGGTAAATGCATGTCTTTGCAACCAGAAACTGTGAGGCGATAAGCCACTGAATGTTAGAGAGTGATTTTAAAAGCATGTGTTTTTTTAGCTGATTAAATCACTGTAGATTAATATTCAGAAGTTAAATCATATAATCAAGCGTTCGGCACAAAGCCATGTGCTTCTGCTCACTAACTACAACTTTCTCAATGATCATGCATGTGTTTTTATTAATGATCAAATCACACAAAGGTCATTCCTACTGACAGCATGTTTTTGTTTATTTATTAATAGTAAAGCAGACAGTGTTATGATGAGCTAATCATATAATAAAGCACTGCCATATTGCGTTTTTGATAATATAAATGCATTTTTGAATGAAACCTTTTATTACATTTATTATGTTTTAAGAATGATTTACTGATTTTTTTCGTCTCTGCTGACAGTGAACGGTCTGTGTTTAAAATAACAGTACCGTAAAACATTCGACTCAAACCAGACAGAACTAGGTTAGTTGTGAAGACGTACACTGAGTCGGTCTTTAATACTTCAAAACGATGAAAAATACCAACAATCTTCATAATACTGCTTCAAGCGTATGAATAGGAAGGATAAAGGCAACACTGAAAACTGTAGACAGATCTGAAGGAAGAAAACACTGGAAGGCTCACTGGCACAATTCAGAAAATATAGACTTTTCTCCTCTAATACAACACAACAGATTCTGGAAGTAAAAATCACATTCACTGTCTCAAAGCAGATGTGTTTTTGTAGAAAGATTTAGAGAAATCTCTTTATATTTATATGCATCAACAGTACAGCTTGGAATAATTATGATTTTTTTTAAATGTTTTTGAAAGAAGTTTCTTCTGCTCACCAGGGATGCATTTATCTGATACAAAAATACAGTAAAAATTGTGAAATATTATTCCAATGTAAAACAGCTGTTTTCTATGTGAATATCCATTACAATTTTATTTATTTCTGTGATGCGCAGCTGTATTTTCAGCATCATTCCTCCAGTCTTCAGTGTCACGTGATCTTCAGAAATCAGTATAATATTTGCTGTTCAAGAAAACACTACTTTATAAAAGTTTGGGGTAAGTAATATAAATATTACAAAATATATACAGTATATATATTATTCAGCAAGAATGCATTAAATTGATAAAAATATGTGTGTGTTTTTATTATGCATATATAAATACACACACATGCATGTATATATTTTAAAAATATTCACTATATATATATGTATATATATATATTCAAATATAATTAATATTATATGTAAGCATTAATATTTTATATATAAATAAAACATATTTTTCTTAAATATATACATGCATGTGTGTGTATTTATATATGCATAATAAAGTACACACACATATATTGTAAACAAGAACTTTTATTTTGTTTGCGATTAATCGCGATTAACCGTTTGACAGCGCTAACACACAAGTACTGCTTATATAATATTTAGAATTGTTTATAATTCATACGAATTTGAACTGAAGCTCAGATGCAAGTTTCTGTTATTTAGTCTTCAATCGTTGTGCTTTGAATGGCATTTCGTGAATCTCCTGGTTTTTATTTGGTGCATGGATCAGGATTTTCCAGAATCTGTTTTGAGAAAATGAATGGGAAAAATACTTTCCTCTGCTGCGCCGTGCGTCTGTCCTTTAGCCGTAATACTTCAGAGGAATTTAAAGAGACTTCGTGTTAGGCTTCAAATCAGGCTTTTCTGGCTAACAACACGTGCATGTTTGCAGACTCGGGCTGCACCTGCATTATTTAGTCTTCAATCGTTGTGCTTTGAATGGCATTTCGTGAATCTCCTGGTTTTTATTTGGTGCATGGATCAGGATTTTCCAGAATCTGTTTTGAGAAAATGAATGGGAAAAATACTTTCCTCTGCTGCGCCGTGCGTCTGTCCTTTAGCCGTAATACTTCAGAGGAATTTAAAGAGACTTCAAATCAGGCTTTTCTGGCTAACAACACGTGCATGTTTGCAGACTCGGGCTGCACCTGCGTCCAAATGCTACATCCGTATACAGGTCTATATTTACACATTACATGTCAAAGCAAAGAAGTGTTTCTCCCGTTTGTCTTCGCTTCGATTATTTTAGTCCATATTGTCAGTGGCTGCTCATTCTAGGCACTTCGACGCAGCTGCGTTAAAATTTAGTGCAGCAGTCCTCTCGACTCTTAAACTTCAAAACAGCAAAGTTATACGTGGTAGCCATCATGTAGATGAGCTGGTGGAAGAGAAAGCACAGAAATCAATGACGGAATAAAGAAACCGCAAGTCCTGAAATACACTGCAAGCATCTGAGCACAAAACACTTTAGAGTTGCATTAATAAATGCACACAAATGTATGAATATATATATATATATATATATATATACACACAGTTTAGAAACATGATTTAATTAGTAGGCCAAAGACCAGAAGCATCACGAGCTGTTTTGACTTAAATACATATAATAGATAATAAAGTTGCATGATATTTGTAAAATAAATAAATAAATGCTAAAACAATTACGTAACATATATTTTTTTTAAATTACATTACAAATAAAATTTACAGTGAAAAGCAAGATATTTGTAAAAAATAAAAAATAAAAATAAATAAATAAATAAATATATATATAATTAAATTTTTCAAAATATATATGTATATATATATATATATATTTTTTTTTTTTAATATATCATTTATATATAATAATTTAAATAATTTATTTTAAATCAATTAAAAAATATTAAATAATAAAACAAAGAAAGAAACAATAATTTTAAATAAGCATTGCATTATATGAATTTTTGGTGAAAAGCAAGACAATTGCAACAAAAAAATTTAATATTAAATTAAATAATTATTTAATAAATTAAAATGAAAAAGAACTGACAAAATTAAAATAAACATTACAAATAAAATTTATAGTAATAAAATTCTAAATAATAAAAATAATTGTTTAATAAAATTAAATAAAAAACTACATTACAAATAAAATATTTAGTTTATATTAGTTTAATATATATTTAGTATAACTACATTATAGGTAAACATGATATTTGCATAAATAAAATAACTACATAATTATTTAATCAAATTGAATTAAATAAATAATTAAATTAGAACAAACAATTTAAAATCAAATGTAATGAAAAATTCTAATAATGTTTTTTTTCTCACATTTTGTTCTCCAGTATTGACAGCTTCACTGATTATAATGGGACTGATCTCGTTATGTTGTGTTGAATATGTCAGATGCAATAACACTGGATTTCCCTCCAGGCATCAGTAAAGTATGTGAGTAGAAGCTGAGCTTCTGATGTCCCACTAGCTGATATCTCAGGCATTCACATGCATGCAGTTGCAGAACAATATCAAGTCATCTGGAGTCGGCTAGTGGGACTTCACCTCAAAAGCTAACCCTCGGATCAGGGGCTGGAAGCACAGGGTCTGCAGCAGAGGATGCTGGGAATGAAGGGGTAAATAGAGGAGGAAGAGGAACAAACAGCCGCTTACCAGAGCAACGACTGTGGCTCCGGCTCCGGCACAAGCCACGATGAACAGATGATAAGACAGATAGAACTGCAAGAGACCAACGGCAAATCATGCACGTGAACAGAGAATGCTGGACAACTAATAAACCAGTGAGAGTGCGACAAATGGGTTTCAGACAAATAACATTTAGATTTGTAAAAAAAATAATAATATAATATTACATAAATGTAATATTAAATAAAGTAAAAATAAAATTGGTCAATCAAATTTATAGTGAAAAGCAAGCCACTGTTAAAAAAATAAAATGAATTATTAAATAATTATTTAATAAATTAAACTAAAATTATTTACTAAAATTACATAATATTAAATTATTAATAAAATTTAAATAAACATTACATTATAAATCACATTTATAGTGAAAAGCAAGCCACTGTTAAAAAATAAAATAAATTATTAAATAATTATTTAATAAATTAAACTAAAATGACTTACTAAAATTACATAATATTAAATAAATAAATAATACAATTAAAATAAACATTACATTACAAATTAAATTTATAGTGAAAAGCAAGCCACTGTTAAAAAAATAAAATAAATTACTAAAATTATTTACTAAAATTACATAATATTAAATAAAGAGATAATAAAATTAAAATAAATATTACATTACAAATGTATATTAAAAAGCTAAACAAATTAAAGATAAATTATGAAATATTTATTTAATAAATTAAACTAAAATAATGAACTAAAATAAATATTAAATAAAGATAATACAATTAAAATAAAAAATTGAATAATAACTTATTAAATAATTATTTAATAAATTAAACTAAAACAATTTACTAAAATTAAATATTAAATAAATACATAAATAAATAATAAAATTTAAATAAACATTACATTATAAATCAAATTTATAGTGAAAAGCAAGCCACTGTTAAAAAAATAAAATAAATTATAAAATAATTATTTAATAAATTAAACAAAATTAAATAATATTAAATAAAGAGATAATAAAATGTAAATAAACATTACATTACAAATGTATACTAAAAAGCTAAACAAATTAAAGATAAATTACGAAATATTTATTTAATAAATTAAACTAAAAATAATTAACTAAAATAAGTATTAAATAAAGAAATAATAAAAATTTGAATAAACACTACATTACAAATAAAATTTAGAGTGAAAGACATTTATAAAAAATAAAATAACACATTATTAAATCATTATTTAATACATTACATTAAAAAGAATATAATTAGAATTAAAAGAATAAAAAGATAATTCCTTATGCTGTACGACAAGGTAAATAAACTGAGTGTGACGGATGTGTTTACTTCGCTGGTGTTGCAGATATCAGCTAGCGTTGAGCCGCAAGCTTTGCCCGGTGTTGCGTTCCATGGAATAATGCCTGCACAGAGAAATAAACCAAGTTAACAATCACACAGCTCAACATGCTTATCAAGACTGCGTCTGCAGGGAATGTATGAATAGATCAAACGTAAACCTTATATATGTGACCCTGGAGCACAAAACCAGTCATAAGCGTCAATTTCTCGAAATTGAGATTTATGCATCATCTGAAAGCATTGATGTATGGTTTGTTAGGATCGGAAAAATATTAGGCTGAGATGCAACTATTTGAAAATCTGGAATCTGAGGGTGCAAAAAAATCTAAATATTGAGAAAATCATCTCTAAAGTTGTCCAAATGAAGTCTTTAGCAATGCATATTACTAATCAAACATTAAGTTTTGATATATTTACGGTAGGAAGTTTACAAAATATCTTCATGGAACATGATCTTTACTTAATATCCTAATGATTTTTGGCATAAAAGAGAAATGTATAATTGTGACCCATACAATGTATTGTTGGCTATTGCTACAAATATCCCCCAGCGACTCAACACTGCTTTTGTGCTGCAGGGACACATATGCATTGGATAAAAGCACGAATGCATGAAGAGATATTAGGCTCAGAGACTCGTACCGTACTGCCGCACATCCACGCAGATGCTGTCGGCGGAGGTCAGGTTGGCCATCGGTGAGCGCATGGCAGCGCAGGTCGACCTCATGTTGTAGAAAAGGAACACAGGAACCGCTGAGAAGCCGAAAACCCCGAGCCAGGCGATTCCCAGGACGTAGGTCAGGAGCACGAACTGAGAGAGAGACGATGGAACGGTTTTAGCAAACGCAAACACTCGAGCTGGTGCTTAGTGCTGGATTAATAATCCCGTTTTATCTTCAACTGAACCTCTGGCTTCCAATGATTACGGAAACAAGATTCTCAATATAAAACAATCATTGTGCTGCGATCCCTTCAACACATATTTGATCTTATTTATTTTTATTACATTTATTTATTTTAATTGTATATATATAGTAACAGAGTGACATTTCTGTCACAGTTTTCCATATACTTAAGAGTAATGGAATTAAAAATTCTATGTGTTGTAATACTATGAGGCTCGTTGGACACACCTGGATTGTATATCAGGTGAGGAGATGCCTGCAGAAGTGGTTCAGATTGTTTCTTTGTGCTACCTTGAACTGCTGGTTGACAAAGTCCCAGTTGAGAAACCTTTGGTTTTAAGCTCGATGTGTGAGTAGTATATTTGAATATTGTCTATCTTCTTAATTTAGAATGTGGGAGGAATGTTTATGTTTGTTTTTGGTGTTTTCTATTTTTCTGAAGGACTTTTTTCCTTTTCGTATCATTTCACTTCCAAATCTGTGTTTGGATAGATAACTGATCGTAACGGTGTTCATTGGAATAGTGTTTGGAGTGGATGTGCCTTTGTGGAGGCTCACTCATGTGCTAGTCGGAGTAATGGAATTAAAAATTCTATGTGTTGTAATACTATGAGGCTCGTTGGACACACCTGGATTGTATATCAGGTGAGGAGATGCCTGCAGAAGTGGTTCAGATTGTTTCTTTGTGCTACCTTGAACTGCTGGTTGACAAAGTCCCAGTTGAGAAACCTTTGGTTTTAAGCTCGATGTGTGAGTAGTATATTTGAATATTGTCTATCTTCTTTATTTAGAATGTGGGAGGAATGTTTATGTTTGTTTTTGGTGTTTTCTATTTTTCTGAAGGACTTTTTTCCTTTTCATATCATTTCACTTCCAAATCTGTGTTTGGATAGATAACTGATCGTAACGGTGTTCATTGGAATAGTGTTTGGAGTGGATGTGCCTTTGTGGAGGCTCACTCATGTGCTAGTCAGAGTTGTCCACGCTAAAGCACATCGACATATTTCATATCTCAATGTTTGTCTTCGGAAGGAATCATTTATTTTTGCCACGGAGTGGATCATCATTTCTCAGATAAGAACTAAAAGACGATTTCTTTGGTGTAACATCAAAGACAAATTTCTATTTTTCAGAAGGACTGTTTTTCTTTTCATATCATTTCACTTCCAAATCTGTGTTTGGATAGATAACTGATCGTAACGGTGTTCATTGGAATAGTGTTTGGAGTGGATGTGCCTTTGTGGAGGCTCACTCATGTGCTAGTCAGAGTTGTCCACGCTAAAGCACATCGACATATTTCATATCTCAATGTTTGTCTTCGGAAGGAATCATTTATTTTTGCCACGGAGTGGATCATCATTTCTCAGATAAGAACTAAAAGACGATTTCTTTGGTGTAACATCAAAGACAAAGTCTTGATTTTGTTTATTTGTTTCTTTATTCTGTATATATTATAATTAATGTTCACTTGAACATATTTAGCATTTGGGGGAATAAAACACAACAACAAAAACAACAACAACAAAAGAAAGACTGTTTGCTGAAGTTCATAAATTGCTTTATTTGATCTCAGTGATGAACCCTCATTTGTGGCTAATCTAAAAATAAAAGAAAGAAAGTTACAATATATATATATATATATATGTGTGAGTATCTGTTTATTTTGTAATTTATTGTACTATTAACTGAAAATAATTTTTTCACTTATTTTGATTATTTAATTTTTACATTAAAATATAAAAAATATTACTCACATTTTTGCTTTTTAAATTTTTCTTAAACATTTGCTTCTTTGTTTCAATTTATTTATTAAGATATTTTTATATTATATATTCAAACTATGTGTGTGTATGCATATATACATATATATATTTTTTATTTTTTATTTGTTTTACTATTTTATCATTCATTTAATTATTTAATTTAATTCTATTTATCTTTCATATTTTTTATTTAAATTGTGTATTTTATATCTATATATAATTTATATATTTATCAACTTATTTTGATTATTTAATTTTTACATTAAAATATAAAAAATATTACTCACATTTTTGCTTTTTAAATTTTTCTTAAACATTTGCTTCTTTGTTTCAATTTATTTATTAAGATATTTTTATATTATATATTCAAACTGTGTGTGTGTATGCATATATACATATATATATTTTTTATTTGTTTTACTATTTTATCATTCATTTAATTATTTAATTTAATTCTATTTATCTTTCATATTTTTTATTTAAATAGTGTATTTTATATCTATATATAATTTATATATTTATAAATAAATATGTGTATATATATATATATATATACATACACATTTTTATATTACATATGTAGTTTTTCATTATTTTACTTGACATTTTTTTTTTGTTTTTCAGTTGAATGATATTTCCATATTTCCAAAGTCAATAATTAATCATGTTCAATGTTAATCATTAATCAATCATCACGATCTCAATACACACCAACATAATCATGATTATGATTTTTGTCATAATCTGCTGAGCAGGTTGGTAGGTAAGAAATTCAATATTTCTAATTCTGATTAGTTTACGATCCCTTAACGACTTAACTGCATTGATTAAAGCCATGAAGTTCAAGATATCAAGACAGGTCAATATATATATATATATATACACACAGACAAAAACACATTTCTTTGTTTTTATTTTGAAATGTATTTTATTTTATTTAAATAATTTTCTGATTTATTTTTAGTTTATTATTCATTATATTTGTATTTGTATTCTGTTATTTATCTGCCTGATGTTCCCGTACCATGCCGCTGATGCAGCGTCCGCAGACGGTGGTCTTGAACTCGCTGTGGAGCTCTTTGACGGCGCTGCTGGTGTAAAACCCCTCGGCGAGCAGAATGATGCCGTACAGGAAGAAGAAGCAGGCGATGCCGTATATAACATACTGCATGAGCTGGATTCTGCAGAAGAGACGAGAAGAGCTCAGATGTTACTGCTCGTGTGTGCTAGTGTGTGTGTGTGTGTGTGTGAGTGAGTGAGCGTGCGTGAGTGTGTGTGTCTGTGTGTGTGTGTGAGTGAGTGAGTGTGTGAGTGAGTGAGTGAGTGTGTGTGTGTGTGGGTGTGTGAGTGTGTGAGTGTGTGTGTGAGTGGGTGTGTGTGTGTGTGTGTGTGTGTGCTCGTGTGTGTGTGTGTGTGTGTGTGTGTGTGTGTGTGTGTGTGTGTGAGTGAGTGAGCGTGCGTGTGTGTGTGTGTCTGTGTGTGTGTGTGAGTGAGAGAGTGTGTGTGTGTGTGAGTGAGTGAGTGAGTGAGTGTGTGTGTGTGAGTGTGTGTGTGAGTGTGTGTGTGTGTGTGTGAGTGAGTGTGTGTGTGAGTGTGTGTGTGTGTGTGTGAGTGAGTGTGTGTGTGAGTGTGTGTGTGTGTGTGTGAGTGAGTGTGTGTGTGAGTGTGTGTGTGTGTGTGTGAGTGAGTGTGTGTGTGAGTGTGTGTGTGTGTGTGTGAGTGAGTGTGTGTGTGAGTGTGTGTGTGTGTGTGTGAGTGAGTGTGTGTGTGAGTGTGTGTGTGTGTGTGTGAGTGAGTGTGTGTGTGAGTGTGTGTGTGTGTGTGTGAGTGAGTGTGTGTGTGAGTGTGTGTGTGTGTGTGTGAGTGAGTGTGTGTGTGAGTGTGTGTGTGTGTGTGTGAGTGAGTGTGTGTGTGAGTGTGTGTGTGTGTGTGTGAGTGAGTGTGTGTGTGAGTGTGTGTGTGTGTGTGTGAGTGAGTGTGTGTGTGAGTGTGTGTGTGTGTGTGTGAGTGAGTGTGTGTGTGAGTGTGTGTGTGTGTGTGTGAGTGAGTGTGTGTGTGAGTGTGTGTGTGTGTGTGTGAGTGAGTGTGTGTGTGAGTGTGTGTGTGTGTGTGTGAGTGAGTGTGTGTGTGAGTGTGTGTGTGTGTGTGTGAGTGAGTGTGTGTGTGAGTGTGTGTGTGTGTGTGTGTGAGTGTGTAATAGTGCAGCACTGCTCAGCATCGTTTGAGAACATCTCATCACTGCATGTGACTTTAATTAAAGTCTCGAGAACAGAACCAATGTGAAGCGCTGAGAAATCATCACCAGATGTGAGCAGATTTAACTCAAAACAAGTGCCCAGAATTACTCCTAACAGGTGAGTTTCATCATTTTAAGAGACGAATCTGGAGCTCAGACAGATCAAATAAACCGTGAATCAGTGGATGTTGAATGATCAGGAGAACTTCAACAAGAAAATGCATTCAATTCAGTGCAGGAGTTCCTGGAAAATCTACTGAGATGAAAATATAAAACGAGTTGCTAGAAAGCAACATAAATCCACTAAACAGCATCTAATGATGCTTTAATTAACTTCACATCTTTTATCATCTGCATTTACAAAGACCATATACAGTTGAAGAATCCCATTAAAAAAATATCAAGTATAAAAATAATAATAATACTAATAATATATATATATAGCAAAAAAACACATTCTCATTATTGTAATGCATTAAAATAATTTAAATTATTTAAGTATTTCTACATCATGTTAGTAACATTATAGTCATTCTTTTATTGCTTAGGTTTTTATTGATATGAATGTCTTATGTCATAACTCTATAGAGGAAAATGAACATTTAATGCCAGACATGTAAGAAACGCCATTGTATATTTATAAAAATAATATTTAAAATATATGCACTACCACTCAAAAGTCTGGAATAATTCAGATTTTCTAATGTTATTGAAAGAAGTCTACTCTGCTCAGCAGGGCTGCATTTATTAAATCAAAAATACAGCAAAAATTGTGAAATATTATTACAATGTAAAACAGCTGTTTTCTGTGTGAATATGTGTTAAAGTGTAATTTATTCCTGTGATCAAAGCTGAATTTTCAGCATCATTACTGCAGTCTTCAGTGTCACATGATCTTCAGAAATCATTCTAAGACTGGAGTAATGATGCTGAAAATTCAGCTTTGATCACAGGAATAAATTACACTTTAACACATATTCACATAGAAAACATCTGTTTTACATTATAATAATATTTGACATTTTTTACAGTATTTTCACAGCTTCTTCCTCACTCACATGTCGCTCAGCGTGGCGTGGTCTGTGGTGATCCTAGAGAAGTGGTTCTCCAGGATGGTGAGGGTTCCTGTCAGAGCGACGTGTCCGCAGCCGCAGAAGAGCGCCATGCCGCAGAAGCACAGGATGGTGGCCACCAGAGACGCATACGGCACGCCGCCCAGACATTTAATACAGCACTCGAAGCAACCTGCAGACACACAGACTCTGTTAACACTCGTTACACACTCCTGGATGCACATGCTTTTAAACACTGTGTATACTAGGGCTGTGCAATATATCGAAATAAAATCTGCATCGCAATATGGCTCAGTGCGACTCAAATCATGCAGGCTGGGATTTCCTGAAATAAATATATGCTTCACTGGTTGACGTATAGTTCATGATAGTGTTTACGATTATTTACTGTGAATCTAAAACCTGCAGCACATATTTTAATTTGCTGCAACCTAGCAAAAAATATTGATGTTTACCATTTAAAATTGAAGAAAGGAAGGCATTATTTATTAATATTGTAATTTTACAAAAAAATAAATAAACAATTATTTATTTTTCTGTAAAGTATTATTGCAAAAAAAAAGTTTATTAAAAATATTTTAAATAATGGCTTATTTTTATTTTAATCACAAAATGAAAATTAGTATTTATTATTATTTATCTATTTTTAATTTTACATTAATATTAGCATTTATTTATTTATTATTTTATTTTTTATTTCCTAATATTAAAATAATCTGAATATTATATTCAACAATCGCAATAAAATTATGATAATAATTATTTTTCTATAGTCATATTGAATTAAATAAAAATTATTATTAATATATAATGCAGATCCACTGCCGAACAAAATCTATGGAAGCCTGTTTCCACCACGGAATAAAAATAGCAAAAACTTTTTAATCTCACAATTCTGACTTTATCACAAATGCAAGTTTATTTCTCGAAGTTATGACTTTATATTTATATTTCTAGAGAAGAGCAGCCCTTACATATACTATAGAATTAAATGAATAATTCATCCAAAAATGAAAACTGTCATTTAATGATGCTCATGTTTTTCCAAACCTGTATGTTTTTCATGCTTTGTGTGGGGAAGCAAATTAAGTCATAAGCGATTAATCTTACCCAGCAAGGAAACTCTGAAATCTCATTCGTGATCATATTTATATTAATAAATGACATGTTGTCCTCACATAAAGACTCATATCACTTCAAAAGACGGACTACTGTTATGGTACTTTGATGATGCTGTTTGTTTTTGTTGTTTCAAAAATCTTAGTTTTCCACAGAAAAATAAGGAAAAAATTACAGCATAATAACATGAGAGTTTTTTCTGCTTTTGGGTAAATTATTCCTTTAATAAATGTGCCATCGAACTGTGAAGCTCCTAATTAAAAACAGTGTAAAGCACAGAGTGTGAAAACAAAGACTAAAATAATGAACTGCATGTGTGTGTGTGCGCATTTTTGTGACAAATGAGGACATAAATGTGTATAATGACAAAGGTATGACAGGTATTAAAAGGAGAAGGTGACTTTTCAGTGTGTATGTGAGAGAGTGTATGAGTGAGTGTGTGTGTGTGTGTGTGTGTGTGTGTGTGTATGATTGAGTATGTGTGTGTGTGTGCGTGCGAGTGTATGAGTGCTTATGTGCGCGTGTGTGTGTGTGTGAGCGTATGAGTGTGTGTGTGTGTGTGTGTGTGTGTGTGCGTGTGTGTGTTTGAGTGTTTGTGTGTGTGTGTGTGTGTGTGTGCATGTTTATGTGGTTTATGAGGATACAGATTTGTATAATAACATGGGTATGACATAGGTATTACAACGAGAAGGTGATTTATGAGGACATTTTCAGTGTCCCAGTAATTCAAAAGGCTTATAAATAATTCAGAATGAGTTTTTTTGAAAATCTAAAA